GACCCGTAGGCTTTCGATCAAGAACGCTGACAACTGCCGAAAGAAAGTACTCTCAGATCGAGCGCGAGGCGTTAGCCTTGATATTTGGTGTTACTAGGTTTAGGGACTACCTGTTGGGGCGAGAGTTCACTCTGGTTACGGATCATCAGCCGTTACTGGGCCTGTTAAGGCACGACCGTCAGACCCCCGTCATGGCGGCAGCCAGAGTACAAAGATGGGCGCTACTACTTGGTGCATACAAGTAGAAACTGCAGTACACGCCGGGAAAATTTATGCTCAACGCGGATGCATTAAGCCGGTTACCCCAATCTCTTGAACAGGAGCTGCAGGATGACGAGGATGCGGCCGAGTACGTCCTCGTCGTGGACCAGTGGGACGAGCCGGTGGTGCCCATAAAAGAGCTTCAAGCCCTCACGCAGTCAGACGGCGTGCTGTCAAGTGTGTGCAGATACGTCATCCAAGGTTGGCCACAACGCACTGCGGAGGAAGGCACAGAGATGCGGGAGTATCACAAAAGGCGGAACGAGCTGTCCGTGCAGCATAACTTGCTTCACTGGGGTCATCGTGTTGTGGTTCCGGCGGAAGCCAGGAAGAAGCTACTGAAGTTATTACATGGAGCTCATCAAGGAGTTTCTGCAATGAAGGCAGTTGCACGGTCAAACTTTTTGTGGCCTGGCTTGGACCACGATATTGAGCACTTAGCCGCTGTGTGTCAGCACTGCGTACAGGCGTTGCCCATGCCACCCGCGCAAGCACCCATTCGCTGGCCAGAGACGCAGGAAAGATGGTCGCGATTGCATGTCGACTTCGTGGGCCCGATCCAAAACAAGATGCTTCTTGTCGTCGTGGACTCTCACAGTAAATGGATTGAGGCCATTCCCCTGGCTCACGCGACCTCGCGCAACACAGTCGATGACCTGCGAACGCTGTTCAGTCGATTCGGTCTGCCACACACAGTAGTGTCTGATAATGGCACGCCATTCACCGGATGGGAGTTCAATAAGTTCTTGCAACAGAACGGGGTAGTTCACGTGCGGGCACCCCCCTACCATCCACAGAGTAATTGACTCGCCGAACGTGCGGTGCGAACCATCAAAGACGGACTAAAGAAGTGTGGGGACGCAGACTTGTCAAGGGCGCTGGCTAGAACACTGTGCCGCAATAGAAACACGCCGCTTCCGTCCGGGTGCTCACCATCGGAAATGTTGTTGGGTTACCAGCTCCGCATCCGATTAGACATGTGTTTTCCTCCCAGGAGCCGAGCAACAGGGGATGTCCACTCTGCTGACAGTGCCGAGTGGAACTTCGCACCGGGAGATCCTGGGTACCTTCGCAATTACGGCCGTGGTGACAAGTGGACACCTGGGAAGGTCCAGTCAACCTCTGGTGCACGCATCGTGTCTGTCGACACGGAGAACGGGCTTGTTCACCGGCACATAGACCAGCTCAGGCGGAGAAGCATCGAAGAACCGTCGAGTCCAGAGGCTCTCACTAGTCCCCAGATAAGCCCGGACCCTCCAGTACAACACTGCGAAGCTCCAACGGCTACTGGCCCCGGTCTTCCGGGCCACCCGCCCCCAGAGCTAAGACGTTCCACACGTATCAAGAAGCCAGTGGAGCGTTATGGATTCTAAGGAAGAAGGAATGCCACGAACTGTTCGCCACCGCTAAACAAGCGCTGCCAGTCTACGCTGCGCGCGCCTTCTATCTTATCTCCCTCTTCCCCTTTCCTTAGCTTTCGTTCTTATAAAAACCCAAGCCGGACAATAAACGCTCGCTTTTTGCCCTGGTCACTCTGTTCGTGCATTTCGGGGCACGGCCCAGCCGCGGGGGCCGGTTATAACATAACTAAAAATCAGAGTCGCCTTGAATTTATGACTATATTATATTTATTATTGCCGTTGGGATATTTGAGAACAGGAAGTGATTTTTCATGGTGAAGTGATCGGTGATAGTGATTGAATGTCAAGGCTTTTTTTAGGCTTGCAATATGACTGGTGGACGGAGTCTAGCAATTTTCGGAAAAATTACCTTGCAGAATGAGGCACTCTATTACCATAGTCTAGATGAGTGGGTTAAGGATTGAACCCAATGTTCAAAATTTTCTACATTGACCGAAGATCGGTACAAATATTGCCAGTGTGCTTTTGTTCGTAGCTGTATAAGAGTTGCAGAAGAGTTTATAGGTGGGCTAGTTGGTATAGATTCATTGTGACAATTCAGCAGCACAAACAAATAACACAAAGTAAAAAGATACACAAACAAGCGCAGGCTGAAACGTGAGTTTAATAGTTGTAGAAATATACACAAAAAAGACGAGAAGGAAAGAAGGTTACAAGGGGATGATTAGCTGTACACGTCGTGCATTTATCTTGGCTACACACTTCATTTTTTAATACAACAGCTGGTAAGTGAACGCTTACGTAAAGTGCAACAATGATCATGAAGAATCGCATTCACAGCTCAAAACTTGGGAACTGCTGAAGTTTGATATATTTGAGGCTCCGAAAAAAAATAGGAAAAAAGCCACGCTGGCTAGTACACGCCGTGAAGGTGAACCATCAGCAATGTTGTGCATCACACGGTAGAGAAGTGACGCGAAATTTCAATGACCGGTCTCTATTAACGGGAGAGCGTTGACGAGCTCGTTTTGCAGCGATTCCGGCATCGGCGTCAGTGTCAGCATGGGTGCCGTTGCTTGCGAGAGAACAATAGTCGTCTTGTTTGTAACCTGAAAAAAAATGAGTGAGGTGGAAATAAAATAAAGAATAAAAATCTCTGCTTTCGAGCGGGGATCGAACCGAGACCATTTGCGTGGTAAGCAGGCGTTCTACCACACTGTCACGTGTCTGCTTGAGAGCGCATTGAAAAGGACTTACTCTGTTTGATGAAGCAGTAAAAGCTGCTCCTTCTTCAGAAACACACGTGGCGTAGGTACTTGCTTTACAATACAACATGTAATAATGTTGTAGTGCAACTATATTGTTGTAGTACACTGTCGAAGTAAAAATGCCTTGTACAAGCGTACATTGCATCGGGCTTCAGAAGACTTGAATATTTAATTGATTTTATTGCTTAAAACCAGCCACCCACTACAATAGACACAGACGTTACTGCGCCTATTTCCTGGAGGTCAAGTAGTGGGTGCATTGCAAGCTCGAAAAAAAATTCACGCGCAATGTTGCCTGTGGTTATTTAAAGCATGCTGCCCATTTCACCGAACGCAGTCATGTGCGCAGGCTTCGCTGACAGAGGCCACTTTCATCTTTTTCGATTACATTGCAGTAATTCACAATAATGTTCAATTCCAATGGCAGATCCAGATCAAATTTTTTCTGCTCTGAGTGGAGCAATCACATTCCAATGGCGTGAATTGTGTGTTCCAATGGCAGATTGAGAGCAACCGCACATCACGGATTGCTCTACGGAGCAAGCGTTTTCGCTCCGCCAAAATCGGTGGATTTGACCGAAAGTTCAAGGAACGTATTCTATGCGCGCGCCTTTCATCCAATCACCGATGGATGCCCACAAAATGCTTTGCACTCTTTCGCACCCTCTCGTGCTCCCTCGCTAGATTTCCGCTCATCAAGAGCTTTCGTCGAGACGCGCACGTTCCAGCCGCAGATTTCACGAGAGCAATCCCTCTAGGATCTGCGCGCTGCATTCACAATCCGGCCCAGCGCTCGCAATCTGCCATTTGGAATTCAACATAAACTTCTCGAGTAACATCATACAATTAAAAGTATGCACTAATTCAAGTACGCACTAGGTACAAAATACCACTACCGCGTTCAACATTAAGGTCCCCTAATTTTGAATTGAACGCCTAAAACACATCATGTCCATTTACGTGGGCAAAGAAAAAAAAAACGTGGAGTATAGATATATATGTATTTGTGTTTACTTTTAGTGGGCGCGTATTAAGTGGTGGGTTTCGCTTAATGTCGGTGGAAAGAAGGAAGGAAAACAGTTATTGACAGAACGGTGTTTGTGTCGCAGAACCAGCTTGATCCGCAAGTCCCATCGAGCAGAGCTGACTGTCTTAAGTACAGGACGCCGCAGGCAGTTGCGTGCCCTGTAGAACATACCTGTTAGGGGTTTTTGTTGAAAAGGTAACAGTTGGCGGAAGAACGAATGGCCTAGTTATATACAGCTACGCTGTAAGAGCACGGAGAAACAGAAAGAGTAAAATAGATATGCCAGTTTTTTAATGTTCTTTTGTTATTCACCGGCTCAGGTGTTTTTCTACTTAAAGTGTTTTTTCACCCAAAAAGTTAAGTCCACTTTAACTGAAGGAGAAAAATATAGTGAGGAGTGCTGCAACGTTTGTGTTTTTTTCGCGTGTGTGCTTCTCTCATAACATCTCAGCAGTAAGGCCTACATTGCCAATAAAATCGATACAACCCACTATTCTTGACATTCAGGAGGAAAGTGTGGATTTGGCTCTTAGAGACTGCAATAGTTACCTTAATCGCAAATTAATTCAAGTCTCAAGTAGCACAGACTGAATGATTAGCAATGAATTACACGAACATTTACACCAATTTTTTGCTTTCGTCGTTACCCTTCTTCCTTACATGAATGGAATGGAGATGACTATACTTTGTGAGAACCACGCGGGCAGGCTAAGTTGGGATAGAATCTCGTGCTGCGCAGTGGTAGTGTGCGCGTTCCACTCCTGTGTTTCAAAAGGCGCAGCCTGCTCCTTGCCTCAGAAGAGGTGGGTCAGCTGCCGCGAAATATGCGCGCTGCTGACTTACGGCTGTTGCCTCAACTCATGAACTGCGTTTCCCTGTTCCGTATTCCTAGATGAATTTTTCGTATGAGCCGTAGTTTTGAGGCATTTGTTCTTGCTGACGTGCTTCGAAGCTTTATCTGTGCTTAATTTGACTAACTGCAGGACGCAGCAAGAAAAATAGCTACAACCTATGAACAGAAGCATGACGACATGCGCACGCTTGATGAACTCGTCGCTTTCATGCTAGAACCCTACATTTGTCTTGAGTTTGCGTACTTATTAATATGACGAAAGTAATCTGTATAACATGATCACTTTAATTTTAAAACACTCTCTTTGTTTCTTCATTGCTATCAATCGTACACATCTATTGCGCTCATACGTTCCAAATATCTTCGACTTGCGCCAATCATGAAATGTACTTAATTTACCAGAACATTATTTAGAAGTTCTTGTCCAGCTTCGTTGGGTGACAAGCATCGATATATTTACTAGCAATCATGCTAGGACAAAGGGTGTCGGTTCACACCAGACCTGTTTTTGATTGAGAAGCTGAATTGTATACACCCTTGCAAAGCGTTCAAGGCCGATGTTTAGATAGATCAACGCACATTTATGAAATGTTTCGCTATTCTCCACTGATTTGTTTTGGATTGTTGGTGTTTTACTTCATAGCAGCTTAACGCTTGTGCACTTCGATTAGGGTGAACGTTGTTGAACCTCATGGGGTCGACATTTCTCTAGAGCTCCACTGTGGCATGACTCGCCATCATACTGTGCTTTCGAAGCGTAAGATCCAAGATTTAGTTTTTCATTATCACACAACAAGGGTGCCAAAGGTCGCCATGACGTTCCCTTCAAGCGCAATTACAAATGTAGTGACTCGAAATGCAGATGTGCGTTGACGATGACACAGCAGTCGAAATTCGCGAAGTCAATCTGAGATCAACTTACCACTCATTTATTTGAATCTCAGCTTCAATTGGGGCTACAAACAGTAATGTTATCTGCTGATGGAAGTTTCGTAAAGAACACGCAGTTGCAAAAAGCCCTTCTAATATCTATATCCGCACTAATATACCCACTAATGTCCCCACTAATAATAAAAACACATAGGGGATTAACCAGTTATAAACATAGCATTAGATATGGTTTCGCATGCTTTCATGCCGTAATAGGTACTGCTCAAAAGCACCGTATTTCATACATGATTGTGCGATCTAACCAATCGAGGTGTTCTTATGATGGTGCTAAAATTGATGCCTTCACAACATATGCTGTTTGGCTTTTTGCCACTGTTTTATTTATTTTGATGCACAGTACATCAAA